AAAAAAAAAAAAAAAAAAAAAAAAAGAATCGGGCAGCCACTCTTATTTTATTAATTCCAGAAAGAAAGTAGAGGATCCCATTCTGGAGAAAATCAGCCCAAGAGAAAGACCTGATATGTGGTGTCAGCCAATGAACTGTTCTAGGCAGATCACTCTACAGTAACTACCACCAATAAATCTACAAATCCTGTCACAAACAAGCTCAAATCAGCTTTTTAATGCCACAGTTTTATATGAGCAAATAGCTTTGAGTCACTGGCTATTTCAGGAAAACATTAAATATAAGAGCTTAAGGGACTTCCCTGGTGGCACAGTGGTTAAGAATCTGCCTGCCAATGCAGGGGACACAGGTTCGTGCCCTGGTCTGGAAAGATCCCACATGCCACGGAGCAACTAAGCCCATGCGCCACAACTACTGAGCCTGCGCTCTAGAGCCCATGAGCCACACTACTGAGCCCACATGCCACAACTACTGTAGCCCATGTGCCTAGAGCCCGTGCTCGACAACAAGAGAAGCCACCGCAATGAGAAGCCTGTGCGCCACAACCAAGAGTAGCCCCCACTCGCCGCAACTAGAAAAAGTCAGTGTGTAGCAACGAAGACCCAACACAGCCAAAAATAAATTAATTAATTAATTAAAAACAAAAACAAAAAATAAGAGCTTAAAATACACAAAGAGAAACAGGAGAGACAATGGAGGGAAAAAAAACAAAATTCAAAAGAAGAATGCTTCTAAAAAAAAAAGAAAAGAAAATGCTTCTAAAAACAATATTATATAGAAATTCCATAAGAGAATGATGTCAGAAAAAGAAATACTGAAAATGTTTTTTTAAATTAAAATACAAAGATGAGAACTTAATAAAACCTCACAGAAAGTCCAAAATAAAAAGAGAGATGGAGGGCTTCCCTGGTGGCGCAGTGGTTGAGAGTCTGCCTGCCTATGCAGGGGACACAGGTTTGTGCCCTGGTCCAGCAAGATCCCACATGCCGCGGAGTGGCTGGGCCCGTGAGCCATGGCCGCTGAGCCTGCGCGTCCGGAGCCTGTGCTCCGCAGCGGGAGAGGCCACAACAGTGAGAGGCCCGTGTACCGCAAAAAAAAAATAAAATAAAATAAAAGAGAGAGAGAGAGAGAGAGAGAGAGAGATGGAAACTAGAAAAAAGTAAAAAGAGCAGATACAAACTACTATATATAAAATAGATAAACAACAAGGTCCTACTGTATAGCACAGAGAACTATATGAAAAAATAATATGCATATATACATGTATAACTGAATCACTTCACTATACACCAGAAACTAACACAACATTGTAAATCAACTATACTTCAATTTAAAAAAAAGAAAAAGAAATTCTAGAGGTAGCACAAAAAATTTAAGATCTGAATTACGAGTGTTCAATCATTCAAAAAATTTAATGAGCTCTTACTATGTGTTAGACATGGTGCCAAGCACTGGACATAAAAAATGATCAATCAACATTGAAACATAGAGAACAGAAAAAAAGAGAAAACAATGCGGAACAAATGATCAACAAAATTACAGAAGAAAATTTCAGAGATTTTCAGTTTCTGGAATAAGTGAGTGCCCTGGTACATGAAAGAATAAAATCAGCATCATGATACCTCAACACGAAATATTAGAACATCATAAATAAATAACAAATGCTAAAAGCTTCCAAAGAGATGAAACAGGTCACTTAAAAGAATTAAGAACCTGAATGG